CCAGCCCTCTGACTAATTTTGTGGCTCTCATCTGACTCTCTCCAACAGGTCCAGATGTTGGGGGCCCCACATCTGAACACAGTACTCCAGGTGGGGTCTCACGAGAGCAGAGTATTCTCATTTGAAGTTCCCAGGACACTGGCCAGTTTCTAGTCTTATACAGGGCATACTAAAAGGGGTGTTTGCAGGACAAACATTTCATGCTATTCTATGCATGGCAAGGACTCTGGAACAGAGTTTTGACTTTCAGCTTGCAGCACTAGGATAAACAATTTTTACACACCAAGGATGGGTGGGGACTTTTCAGGCCTTTGCCCAGTTCCAACTGGAAACACAGAAGCAAGAGAAATGGACCCAAACAGCAGTGCTCAAATTATGGTGGACATTCAGTAACAAGACCTTTATCCAATGAAAGAGCTTTTAATCTCTTGATAAAATAAACCCATTACACAGATAAATGTAACCCAAATAAACCAGTTACATCGATAGTAAGGTACAGATGTCCATGACGGTTCCTCAATGAGTTCTGCATCACTATTCATCAAGCCTTAATGTCACAGGCTCCTGAAGAAGGATGGACAGAGGTAATATTACTATGCTCTTTCCACCTTACTCATCCTCTGTTTCTTAATATTATCAAACACTGCTCTCAAATGTATTTTTAATCCAGGACTATCTTAGAATGCCCAATTCAGCAATTAGGTTCATTGTTTGTAGTCCTAGACTCCTTCATTTGTGAAAATATGTAATATTGCAACTTTTATACTCTCTAGGGATAATCTTCATCCAAGGGGAATAGTGTATTCCTGTTTCTCATATACTTAGATCTAATGGCAATAAAAACATCAAAGTGTTTCTCAAACAGCAACTGCAGAACAAGACTTTTTAAGGTCAGATTTTTGTTAATATTCAAATTCTGGAAGTTTCATTCTGGGTTTCAGCAAAGCACAAAAGGTAAACATGCAGCAAACTGAGCCCTACAGAGATAAGAAACTTGCTGGCTTTCTCTTCATCAGCAGAGTAAGTCAATTGAGCCTTGTGAAAAGTAATTCGGAGCTTTCAGAAAGTATCTTTGTAGTTGCAATGCATACTTGCAAATCTTTTTTCTACTTGTTATTGCTCAAAGCCTGCCAATAGACATGATGTGGCTGTGGCAGTTCTGCCTGATCATAACTCCAAACCAGATTTGTATCATTACTTTGTCTTGCAACACTAAAAAAATAACATCAGTTTGGACAACACTTCAACAGGTTGCTCCCTGTCATGGATACAGCTTCCTTGCACTGCTGGTAGAAGTCAGAATATCTTCATATTAAGACCACAGAGACTGAGCATGCATCAAAGGAACTGCATGAACAGTTGAACTGAGGACACAGAGCAAAAAAACAGCACTGACAAGAAAGTTAGCATCCATCAGCACGTATCTTTAAGTTTTTTGGCCTATGCGGTGCTACAGTAATGAAAATCAGTAGATTCAGGCTATCGTGTATTATTGATCTGTTTCAAATTGCATACAACTCTAGTCTTAGTTCTAAGTTACTTATTACAGAATAATCTATTAGCAATCGAAAAGGATACAGAACTTAAACTATTTAACTCAAACAGACTTTAACAAACTGTTTCTTCAAATGAGCAATGCTAATCCAGCAACAATTTAGTTGTGCTCTTGGGGCAGTTACAGGACCTGTTGTGACTTCAGTAGATACACCAAGTCTGCTATGAAACTTGAACCCATCAATTTATTACAGATTAAGGGAGCAGTGTTTCCTAAATAGAAAGGCATTAGCCTTCCAAGTGGACTTCCATCAAATGAGGATGCACAAATTGACAACGGAGCTAGCGCACTAGAGCCCAGTCACAGAGCTGCAGGGTGAAGACCTGCAGATACTGCTACTGGCTGCTTCTACTTCTCACCTCTAAGTTTTGGAACAATAGGGAAAAAAAAGATGTTAATATTCAGAAGCAGCCTTTTTTTTTTTTTTTTTGCTGGCCTGTGTCTAAATTAGCCAGTAGTATTCACATCTACAAAAACACAGTACACCCACACAACCCACAACTTCTGTCTGAAAAAAAGACACTGATAGATATCACTATGGCTAGTTGCTAGCACACCCATGAGCTGCAGCATACAAATACTTCTCTTTTCCTATAGTTCCTTTAACCCTATGCTTGAAGAGACTGCCTTCACAGCAAAAGGACATTAGTTTGATTCCCAAAACCTATTATCAATATACTGGTGTGAACAGAGGCAGAGGTATGGCATACAGTTCCAAGGTCCTAAATCTGCTTGTTTTCTTGGAGGTCTGCAGTCATTAAAGGCAGTACACTAAGAAAAGTAAACAGCTATTTCAGCAATGGTAAAAAACCAAATTCGCTAGAGTATAAGCAGTATCTGAAACTGCAAAGGAAAAGCAGCTGCACACTTAACACAAAAAGAAAACAATTAAAAGACTGCAAGAATTACTACTTTCAGACAGAATAATATGGTTTTAAGTGAAAACTGTAGTAAGGGCCCAACACTGTACTGGCTGTGTTATACTGACACAGTTGAATCGGTTCTACGCCCTGCTCCACCTTCTGGAACATGGAGGAGTACTTGTATTAAACTTCAAACACAGTAGCTATTAAAAGCAGAGACTTTTTGCGCTACAGACCAATTACATCATCTTAGACTGAAAGAACTGATTATTTCAAGGCCAATGGTACCTTTCTCCAGCATGTTTGCTTAATAGTGCAGACATCAGTACTGCAGAGACCCAGAAACCCTTTTACAGTAAAGCTCTTATAACATGGTCCAACTTTTGTGGTTTTTTTTTTTTTAATGGCAGCATGAACAGTATTTTAATACTGTAAATACAAAAAAAAGAGGTACTAGGGCAGTTTTTGATGATACTTATCTCCATCAGCATTACACTGTACCTTGAAAGCCAACTTCTGTAGGAATTATCAATAAAACATCTTTTAAGGGTGTCACTAAGTGTTGAAAGCATAACTTCTATATTTGCTTTTATAATCATATGTGTTCTGTATTTAAACTTAAACCACTGAGAGAAAACTGAAGAGAGAACAAGAGAAGAGTTCAAGGTTGCACCATACCAATGCTCTCCATCCAATGTAAGTATGCCAACTCTAAGAGAGTCAAAAGCCTGAATATTAACTAAAAATGGCATAGAGATGAATGAAGAAAAACCCTGTAGCTTCATAGTGAATTGCTTAGCTATGCTGGAACAAGAGAGATTAATCAATTTCTCTCTCCCACTGCCACCAGTTTCACTGGAAGTCTTTCAGCTATTTAGTATCATAAGCAGTTGCACCACCCTGACTTCAGCTACAACCAGTTACGAATGCCTCAGTATTTTAAGCAGATGCAGCTTCCTCTGTACACTCCTTGTCGTGAGTGCCTCTTCTGAAATGGGTTTCTTGCTCCCTACTCAAAACACAACACAATGAAGCAGTAATACTCTCATCATTAGAAATAAAGGTTCTTACTGTGTAATTACTGTTCAAGACTATATTCAAATAGGTAAAACCCCTAAAACCGCAAACACCATTAAATGCCTGCTGTGACATTCTGTTAGCAGGCTGGAAAGCATGTAATAAACATACCTTCTATGAAATCATTTTCACTATACAGCTGCCTCTCTCCTACTCCATCATCTTCATCTTGTCCATCTTCTTCATCTGGATTATTGATAACTTCTAGGCCAGCCTCAATAACTTCCACTAATTCATCTCGTTTATCCTTTCTAACGGGTTTCTCTTCCGGATGCCGAGTGAGCCCCATCTCCAACTGGAATACTTTCATGGACGTAAAGCTTTCAAACGGAACGACACCATATTCACTAGGCAGTTTGGCCCCCATGCTCACCTCAGCTTTGTCAATCTGGGAATGAAGAAACTCTAGGAGATCATTGGATGTTTGTTCTTTGGTGCCCTGGTAGTTCATACCATTGCCCTTGGGGTTCTTTTTTTCCTGCAGGGACTTCAATTTATCACTCATTTCCTGAAGCTCTTGCTTTAACTGGGCAATTTGACGTTTCAGACTGGTAGCTCGGTTTTGGTAATGCTCTTCTTGTTCCTGCAAGAGAGCCTGATAGTATTCTTTACCCATGTTTTCACTTACAACGCCAGGTAGAGATCCATTACCATCTGTCTGTGGAGCACACTCAAGCAAATACATGAGCAAGACTAAACTGAATAGTAAAGCAAGACCCACTAAGAGCCAACGAGTCCTGGCTTGAATTACTAAGCCTCTTCTGGGCATTCTCATATTATTTCTGTTTCCAATCCAGAAAGATGACTTATTTGCTCATGCCTTCCAGGGAACATCACCCCAGAGTTCAAATCTTAGAAAGAGAGAGAAAGCATGACCGTAATAATTACTACAAGTTTTGATAAAGTAGCTGATGAGCATCTTTCAACCTTTGTTTTAATCAGGTGTCATTGCAGAGGCATAGATCTGAAGTTCCTTTGTCATCCATAACCATCAACTGTAAGTTTGGTTGACGCCATGCAATTTATTCAGGATTTCGTAGTGCAAACAAAAAACCCTGCAGAGAGAGAAAACAATGGAAGACACCAGCAAGGAGTCATATTTCCATTTCCTGTTTCCACCCTAGTTGAAGGAGTTTAGTCCATTTGAAGCTCAGTCAGGAAATTCTGCAAAAGTGATTTTATAAGCTTTGAATCAACAGCAATTTTCCCCCCTGCTCCGTGTGAGAGCAATCTACAGTTTAGTAACAGTAATTTTCATTGCCTAGTTCAGCTTTTCCTCTGGCACTTGAGTATTTTATTCCACTTTCCCTCCTTTCCTTGAAATCTGCGGTTTGAGTCAGCAAAATGAAGACAGAACCTAAAATTAAAAGAAAGGTGCATATTAGAACTACAAAGCAACTAGTCATTTGAAAAACACATGAACAAAGCTGTTAATACACAGATGCAAAGGACTGCTGGGGGAAGGGGTGGGAAAAGGAAAAAGAGAAAACATTATTTCTTTCCATTGCATTACCCATCAGTGATTCCCTTTGACATGGTGTCTGCAAAGTAGCAATATGGACAGTCTAATGAAATACATTTTTCACATAGCTAGCTAGAGCAGTAAGGGTTCTTCCAGTCTCATCAAATTTTATTTAACTCCTTCATTCCTTCTTGTTTTTTTATTTTCCTCTGTGGGAAGAAAAAAAAACACCAACGAAACCCATGCCCTTTCTACTCCTCTGAACTAAAAAAAAAATACCAAGAACTATTTTGAAGCAGCAGAAGCTTGCATTTTCATTCACTTTTACTTTATGTAAATATCTTTTAGAGAATAATTATTCACTCATAAATACCAAGTATTGCAGATTTAAATATCAAAGTTCACAGAAACAGGATTTCAGAATAGGTCAGATTCAACAGAAATTCAAATTCAAATCCCATTTCCTGATTGATGAAAGGCAGCCTGAGACTATCCATTCACTAACATTTCCACCTTTTGATTTGGTTAGGCTAGTGTGAAGAGGCACTAACCATTTGCACGGGTTAGCCTCTTACACTGCTGACCAAACCATCTCAGAGGAAAAGACCATTGAAAAAGACTACAGTTACACAGGACAGATGTATCAAAAATCCTACTCAGCAATTATAGTAAAATGGTTTATGGGCCTCTTCAGTGGCAGCACAAAGAGCTAAGAAGTAAGCTCAATGCATGTTAATCTATCTTCTAACAGTTTAAAACTTGGTTGTAGTAAATAACTGAAACTCATTAAAATGTTTCCAGAGATCTATTAGCTCTACATCCATTTCCACTGTGTTGTGTAATTATTGTTTGGGGGCAGTTCTGGGACTCTAGTAACTTCGGTTCAATTTCAGTATGCTTATGAGGTAAGAAAAAATCTCCCACTCCAATACTCCTTATATATGGGTTGGACAGATTATTATCTGACACCACCAGCAGCCACAAACCCCGTCTTCTTCCATCCTCACAAGTAAGTCGTGGTGCCACGATGTACTCATTTCTCCCCAATTATGTCCTTGTGACATTTCCCCCTTCCCATTTGCCTCCCAGCACTGGGATACTGGTTCAGTGAGAAGCAGGTACCACATATCAGTGGTATCATGATATTCAGCATCCCTGCTTGCAAGAAAGCTCCAATAACAAGGCCTGAAAGATTAAGTAATTTATTCACACTACTAACACCAATGTCTGCGACAGCTGATCCTAAGCATGTTGTGCAGACTAAGTTTTGCAAGAGCTGCACACCTTGGAGTTGTCCAGCTGGAGTCTCCAGGCCTGCTTGAAACAGTTATTAGTACTTCTAGTGCTGAAGCTCCTGCCTCTGACCCTGTTCACTAATAGATTAGATCCATTATGTAGAAATTCTTAATACAGCAGCTTAAAGGCAACAGTTACCTGAAACTGAAGCTTTTTGAACTCATGTAAAGCTATTGGACACTTTGGTACAAAATAAGTAACGGTTTTATCAACTGAATTCTAGAGGATATCCTTTTAAGTCCAAATAAGACAGAAGTTAGTCACGCCTCACTGCACAGACACAACATTATATAAATGCAAGTTAAATGCCTATAAGGAGTGATCAACACCAGATGTACCCTCAGACTATTGACCAGGGTCCAGATGTGGTGAATCATGGGAGAAAGAAAAAAAAAAATCTACAGGATAAAACCAGTTCACAGAAATGATGTAATATCATCCCAAGCCTTCTCTAGTACAAAGCTGCCTATATGACGTTTTTTCACACTTCTTCTGATTTCTTGTTCTGTTAGACCACATCAGGTGAAGCCACAATTAATGACAAAGAACTGTATGTTTCTTTAAACCTAGAAAACTGCTAGACAGTACTAAAGCCACTCCATGCAGAAACTGGCACATCTTAGATCAGTCAAGGCATACTGAAAAATGATCAAACTACCCAACTTGCATAAAATACTGATAAATCTAGCCACAACTATTTTTCACTGCACAGCCTTATTACTGCTGTCAAGAACAAAAGCATTCTTGCATCACTGTACACACAAGCACAGCTACTGTATCACTAAAGAAATAATCTTTTCAAGTTATGAAGAGATGCTTTTGGGACTGGGGACAAGGCAGGAAACAAGACTGAGTCCTACAGCTCAGCAGGACACCAAGAATAGAGCTTTGTGGTTTTCCTTTACATTTCTCCTCACCTAAAATTAAAGGATAATTAAAGAAAATAAAAGCATTTTCTTAGAAAACAGGAGCTAATATTTCTAGTTCAGATTGTCTTAAGAGATTACTTGGGCAACTAGGGTACAGTTTGACAATGGGTAGAGCAGGCAGTTGCAAACCATGGCCAGATTTGTTTCATCACTGAACCTCTAACTTAAAGTCATGGAAGTCACAAAACCTCCTACCACCGTGGGCTTTAAACAATCATTAACTGCTGTTAAGCGATAAACAGACATCCCTAAAGCTGGGACATTACTCTAGTAGGCCTTTATTCAATTCTTGCCCTACCAATAAATTGCCCTGTGTTCAACTTTGATGAATCACTAAGTTTCTTTAGGTCTCATTCATGTCTTAGAAGCAAGTGGCAACAGATTTCCCAATGTGGTGTCAAGAGGACACAATGTACCCGGAGATTAAGACTCCCTCAGACAATAGCAGGGGGCAATGAAAGAACAACTCTGTTCTTCATAACTTTCTTAACTGTGGCCAAACGTCCATCATTATGGTAAGCATGGATTAAGAAAGTCAGCACGCCTCCGCAGGGACTCGCCATTCGCATTGCGTCACCAAGGCAAGAACAAAACATTATGAATAACTGCACATTTCTGAGCCTTCCTACTGGCACCTTACCTATTTACTCTAGAGGGCTGTTTTGTGGAGTACTGCCTGAAGGGGTGCTTAGGGAAGAGAAACAATAAGCCGTTTCTGAAGCAATGGAAACCACCCATGGTGGGCTGTAGAGAGCTCCCTGGTTCTTTTCCTTCTAGGCTCTAATTATTTCATCATTAGTTGAAACCCTTTTCTAGTGAGCTAGCAACAATCTTATTAACAAGAGAGTCTTTTTGCACTGAGATAGGCCTTGCCTATTTATCTTTGACAGTTTTTGTAGGACACCAGAAAGAAAGGGCATTTTTTCCCACTACAGCTTCCCTATGGCCTTTAAAGGCAACGAATGTTTGTGCAATTAGTTATGTTGAACAACATTAAAATTTTAAATTGCACATGGAGAGCTGAAGGGGTTAGTTTGCTAAAGCAGTGGGGACTGAGCCAATTTGGACATCCCTCACACATATTACTTCTTCTGAGAAGAGTCATCATAAAGGAGTCAGACACAGACTTCATCTTGCATCCTTCAAGGAGTGAGTGAAGCCAGTAAGAATGTTAATTGCAATCCCATCAGAAAAGGAGGGTTTACAAGTCCTCTGTGTCACTATCCTCTCTTTTCAAAAAGCACTAGTTTTTGCAGATTTACCCAAATTTGACATCAACTGCATCTGGCACAGCACTAGTTTAGGAATTCCAGCAACTACTCCCAGGCTGTAGAAGATGATTACAAGAGAAAGCAGTCAGAGAAATCCCAGAACTAGCAAAAGCACATAGGATCCCAAGAATCACAACAGCAAAATTAACTGTGTCCCGCAGTATATTCTGAAGTTTATAAAAAAAAAGAATGATAAGATTATCTGGAAATGAGCAATCACGCAGAAGTCCCTGGGGTCAGCATTTCAGTGTTTAAGTTCCAAATCTTCAAATTGCACATGCTGATATTTCACTTTATTTAAATGATTTGAAACAAGTCTATTTGCAATACTCCGTATGATCTCCAAAAAACAAGACATCTGAGGCTTACACAATGCTTATAAAGATTTGCAAGTTTTCCAGAAGCAACTGGTTGTTATTCTTTCTGCATTTCCAAGGCCTTATGTATATTCAAGTATGGAAATGTTTCTGTTCCTTACAAAAGAGCTCATTGATTCTCTAAGCACAAGGGATTAGACCAGCATGCTAATTGAAAATGCTTTTAAATTTGTTTTTATTATATTAGCATTCTGTTTTGCTTCCTTGTTGCAAAGGATGAGGTCTTTCTAAAGAGGGGAAACATCCACACTTTAAGCAGTGACCTAATTCAGTATGCGCTTGCCTCATGTCAGACTGTACAGACATTCCTCATTTTAGCATGTTCTACTTTAAACATGTCCTTTTCATTCAGCATGCCCTAGATGGTCATAGTTTAGCTGCTTATGAAATTCCAGATGATTTTCATAGTTATTTTATTGTTCATAATTTCACCCAGATGC